CCCAAAGTGTGGGGCAGTGGTGCCTTACCAGCGTGGGACTCACCTGAGAGAAATACAATGCTATCTTGTTTAAGTCCCTCTTATTTAGAAACTCTATCACACAGTGTCTGATGTATATGCTTGTTAATAAAGGGATTCTGAAAGCTAGTGCCTGTGGCAATGCTTCTATTCAATCCTATCTCATACTCCAGGGTGCTAAATGCGAGCATTAAAAAAAAAAAGCCTAAGAGTCCATTTTACTACTCTTGCCTATTCTTAACACGATGAAGAACAAGAGGAACAAGCAATGAAAAATGCCAGACACACAATGTGAGTCTAGTTCAGGGATGGTCCAGTGAGTCTGGGAGCTGATTTTCCCATCTGATCATGATATGCCTGTGGTGCTAGCTGGCAAACTAGCAATTAAGAAATAGGGAGAGGCCAGGCACGGTGGCTCGTGCCTGTAATCCAGAACTTTGGGAGGCCAAGGTGGGCAGATCACTTAAGGTCAGGAGTTTGAGACCAGCTTGGCCAACAGGGTGAAACCCCGTCTCTACTAAAAATACAAAAAATTAGCCAGGTATGGTGGTACATGCCTGTAATCCCAGGTACTAGAGAAGCTGAGGCAGAAGAACCACGTGAACCTGGAAGGCAGACGTTGTTACAGTGAGCCAAGATTGCGCCACTGCACTCCAGCCTGGGTGACAGAGCAAGATTGAATCTTTTTTTTTTTAAAGGGTAATGGGGGAAAACCCAGAAATCAAAAACATAAGTCATGTTCTTAAGTATTTCCTTTGTTTCTTTTTTGATTTGTAGAATGAGAACAGTTGGTGTGATCACTGAAAATCTTTTTTTTTTTTTTTTAAAGATGTAAAACCTTTCAAAAGCCCACTATGTACAAGATGATAAACATGATCTGGGTGGAGTAGCAACAATCATGATAATACAGTAGGGATATATAGCGAGCACTTACTTGAGCCTGACACTGCTAAGATGCCCATACCAACCGTCTCACTTAAGCCTCAAACCTCAAGGCTATCTAAAATGACATGACTGTTGACGCTGGACTATGACCACATCCAAAGCCTTATCTTCTGACATTGTTTTGCTCCAAAATTGCTTGTAGAACATCCATAAAAATTCTCAGACTTCCAAGCATTTCATATGGAAAGAGCTTTTTTTTTTTTTTTTTTTTTTTAAATGAGATGGAGTCTCGCTCTGTTGCTAGGCTGGAGTGCAATGGCTCGATCTTGGCTCACTGCCACCTCTGCCTCCCAGGTTCAAGTGATTCTCCTGCCTCAGCCTCCTGAGTAGCTGGGACTACAGCACGTGCCACCAAGCCCAGCTTATTTTTGTATTTTTAGTAGAGACGGGGTTTCACCATGTTGGCCAGAATGGTCTCGATCTCTTGACCTCGGGATCTTCCTGCCTCGGCCTCCTGTGCTGGGATTACAGACGTGAGCCACTGCATCTGGCTTTTAAAAATGCTTACAGATCCTTGCTTCTATAACTTAAATCCAGTCAAAAGTTTAAAAAGTAGGAAACTATACCAATTTGACCATCCTGTAGACATTAATCATAAATAAAAAGAGCCAGTGTAATAGATTTTGAAAAGTGGTTGTGTGTGTGTGTGTTTTGTTTTTCAAAATTTCTGCAGGATAGGATGATTTATGGCAACATATCTTTGTAGCAGTTCTCACTGGGTCTTGAGATTGAAGGTGACTGCATTTCAGTAATAACATGGCAAAACTTAAGGCAGGCACTGAAAAGACAATACCTGTAAAAGTTAAGCCATTTAATCCATCCCGTAACAACCAAAACAAATGTTTAGGACTAGTGATGACCACGAAGGCACTGCTGCTCATGCAGCCTCATTCCTCCCTGGTATTCAGATATGCTTTCTTGAGAGTGAGAGTGAGCAGATGGGTATGAAAGCCAACAGGTAGGACACAGGCATGGGCAATAAAAAGCCATTACAATTTTACCCGTTTATTGGGACAGAAAAAATGAGAAGCATTTTTCTAGATGCATTTTTTTCCATGCAGTGTTCTCCTTCTCTTGTTCCTGTGTTCTCTCTGCATGCTTTCAAGGAAACCTGGGAAGAAGCTGGTATCTCATCCAGACCAAAGCAAAACAAAGACCAAGGACCAAAGTGCCGGCATCATTGCTAAAAATGTTAGGTGAGAGGGAAGCGATGGAAACTGAGACATCTTCAACCCATGGAATATCCTGTGGCCACAAAGGGATGTGGATCCCACCAATTTCAATTGGTTCCCACTGACCAATCCTGGGAAATATCCAGGCTGTGTCTGCAGCGCCCCCTCCATTGTTGCTTCTTAGAGATGGTGCATCTCAGTCTGTAGGAAGTGGGCACTGCTTTGGGGCAGTTTTCCTGCCCAGCCCTGCACCAGACTCTCGAACAAGGTTAGGGCTCTCCTAGCAAATATGAGCTCTACCCACATGGTGTGATAAGGCCACAAAGAACTATGCTTCTTTCTTTTTTTTTAAGAGCCTTTAATGGGGGAAATGAAACTCATGGGAAATTTATTAAATTAAATGTAGGATACAGAATTTATTATATAATGTGACCTCTGGCATGCAAAAATGTATTGGGAAAATCTGGAAGGAAATACAATTAAACAAATTTTTTTTTCTTTCTGATAGGAGTAGGAACATGAGTTATCTTCTTTATGATTTACTGTATTTCTCAACTTTTATACAATGAGCATGTATTTAAAAAAACTTACTTTGGCTGGGCACAGTGGCTAACCCCTGTAATCACAGCCCTTTGGGAGGCCGAGGCAGGTGGATCACCTGAGGTCAGGAGTTCAAGACCAGCCTGGCCAACATGGTGAAACCCCGTCTCCACTAGAAATACAAAAATTAGCTGGGTGTGGTAGCAGGTGCCTATAATCCCAGCTACTCAGGAGGCTGAGGCAGGAGAATTGCTTGAACCCGAGAGGCAGAGGTTGCAGTGAGTAGAGATTGCACCATTGCACTCCAGCCTGGGCAACAGAGAGACTCCATCTTAAATACAAAAACAAAAACTTATTTTTCTCTATAATAAAAAGAAGTAAGGGAAGATTTTGGTTATGCTGAAAATAACTACAGTCCTTTCTAATCCATTTCTTAGCATCAAGTACAATGAAACAAAACTGTACAATATACCACTTTATTCACTCTCAGCTAATGCTTCAGATTTTGAGTTTCTTAGAGGGAAATTTCCCCTATCTAAGCGGACATACATCTCGTTAGCAGTATTTTAGCAAATCATACTGTACCATGTGGTTTTATGACCTAACTTTAAGAGTAATGACAATTAACTTTAAAAACAAACACAGTAATTGAGTCTTGAGATTAAAATTGACTTTAATTAGAACAACATAAATTAGTATTTCCCTCAAGGCAGTTAAGTAAGGAAACCATTTATCCCCCTACTGATGTTGCCATTTCTCAAAATATTTTTGAAACTTTCTGTGGAACTGCTCAGAAAAATCATTCTGTTATTTCAATCACTCCCTATTTTTGACCAAAAATGGTTTTACCAGTTTGACACATCATTTACCTGACTTGACATCAAATTTTTTTAGGGCTCTTGGTTTGCCCAAAAAAAAAAAAAAAACCCTATCCTCAAAGGATAAGGATTCCCAACCACTGAGATTCTTTTAAGTCCACAAACAATGAAAACAATTCTAAACGTGTTTCCAACCCTATTTTGAGTAATAATAGCATTCCTGCAATATCTGGCTGATTCCCCAAGATGACTATTCTGAAGAGGCCAATTCTGGGGGTGGGAGAAAAGGAAACGATCCATCATAGGTTCAAGAAAAGCCTGGATAAAGGCAATGGAGTGAGACTGAGTATGTATCCCAGTAAACACTAATAAAAACCTATTAGAAACCAAAAATTCTCAAGTGCAATAGGGAAATGGAAAGCCATCAGTGGTTGCTTTGGTCCTTTGGGGTGGCCAGCAAGGGCAGAATCCCAAGCTGGAGACCCCAGGGGCTCCTTCTTATAGGACAGTGTTTTATACAAGGTAAGACTACACTACCTTTTCTCTCCATTGGCCTCACATTAGAATCAATCACCCGGGGAGTGTTAAAAAAAAAAAAAAAAAACCAGTTGACTGGCAACATCCAGAAAATGGAATCTGAATCTCAGAAGATCAAATGTAGTGGGGTGTGTGTGTGTGTGTGTGTGTGTGTGTACTGTTTGTTCTCTTTTCCCTTCTTTCAAGTTCCCAGGTGAACTGGATGCCCTGAAGTACAGTAAGGGGTGAGAATTGTGGGCAGCTGGTTCAGAGGAAAATCAAGGCTTCCATCTACAAAGCCTACCTCAGTTGATGAAATGAGCTCCTGAGTAACTCACTCCATTCATCACCTCACACTATGATTCATAAAAACAAAAATTAGGGGCCATTGCTTGGTCTATACATATAATCTTAGAATATAAAAAAATGAGGATAAGAAGCATACAGTCTTTAGTTGACTAACCACATGTAAGATGAAAACACAGAAGTACAGCTATATAACAAAGCCATGTCAGAGTCTAGTTATTAGAGGCGATTTTCTTTTCTTCTTTTGGACTCTAAATTTTATCTGTAGACTCTAATTATTATTATTATTATTATTGAGACAGAGTCTTGCACTGTTGTCCAGACTGGAGTGTAGTGGCACAATCTCAGCTCACTGCAACCTCTACCTCCTGGGTTCCAGCGATTCTCGTGTCTCAGCCTCCTGAGTAGCTGAGTAGCTGGAATGACAGGTGCATGCCACCATGCCTGGCTATTTTTTTTTTTTTTTTTTTTTTAATTTTTAGTAGAGATGGGGTTTTACCATGTTGGCCAGGCTGGCCTTGAACTCCTGGCCTCAAGTGATCCACCCATCTCAGCCTCTCAGAGTGCTGTAATTACAGGATGAGCCACTGCACCTGGCATTAAATTTTCCACAATGAATATGTATCACCTTCTGATACCTCATCCAGTGCTGGCCTGCTGGCTTATGAGATTAAAAACCACATACCGGTAGTATCTTGAGCTGTCACATCCACACCATGTGTAACCATGACCCTGAGGCATTCCACGTGTCCTTTTGCAGCAGCAAGATGAAAACTGGAAAGAGAAGTAAACACAATCTCCTTAAGATTTCTACTATTTAATGTTCATCTCCAACAAAGTTTTTTTTTTTCCTTTTCATGTACACCTTCTCTTCTTTGAGCTCCACAAGCACCCACTGGCTAGGCATTATTATCAACCTCATTTTAAAGAGGCAGAAACAGAGGCTCAGAATGGTCTGATGATTTGACATTGACATTGACAGACCATTGACAGCTTTAGTCAAGTGATGGAACAGGAGTTTGGTCTTCCAACCCCAAAATCTGGCTTGAAAAAAGTCAGATTTAGTCATATATTTGTCCTTTATGAAACAAATCAGAAAGTCCCAACTAGACTGAATTTCTAAGTAGTATATCTTTATCAATGTTTTCCTGTTGTCTAGTGTTTTCACCATAGCTATTTTACCATTTTAAAGTGATATGCTCTAAAAAGAAAATCTTGTCTAAGTCAAACAGTGGCCAGGTTTTTGGACAACTCAATGCCCACTGTTGAGTTGTAACTGAGTAACAATAGTTGCATGCAACATTTGATAAGCGTCTAATGTGGGTCAAGCATCTGACCACACGCTTTTATGCATTGTTTTTCATTCCTATGACAGCTCTTTAAGGTGAGTTCTATTACTTTCTCCATTAGATGTCAGGTGTCTACACTCTGGTGCAAACAGCATTAGAGAAATCCCACCATTAAGACTCCAGAACTCAATGACACTTGGGAGCATGAACCATGCTCAGCATGTTTAGACTGGGCATTTGAGGAAAGGATAACATCCAAATGCCAAGTCAATCATCCCTGCAGATCCTGGGGTGAAGAGCACTTTTGCATGCAGAAAGAAGCAAAGCACAATTCCACTGGGCTGTGAGGCCCAGAGACCAAGATAGCTGCAAAATTTGGCCAGATTTCCCTTCTCTCAGTTGCTATCCTGTAGAGAGGTTAATGAGCTTTCTAGTTCCTCTCCTGCCTCAGTCGTGTTTTAAGGAGGTGCCCTCAGGATACCGCTCATGAAGTCCCTTAGTGTCTGTACCTCCGAATTAATGCCCAGGTAATTTTCTCAAACTGGTAGGATCTGTCACTGAAGCTCAGGGTAACATTCAACTGGAAAGTCCCAGAGCTGACATTTAAACCCAAGTTGGTCTGATTCCAGACCTCTTCTCTTAATAACTTGGCTGAGTGAGGGGGACAGATCAACAAATAGGAATACTTCAGTACTAGCTGCAAATCAGCCATAAGATAATTACCTGTGTGTTTTAGGAAGTCATTTTCTCCTCTCTGTACCTAACTAAATTTTCTCCATTGTAAAGGTTGGGGATCAAGTCAAATAATTTCTAATGGGTTTCCCTGGCTCTAACATTCTATTATTTTAGCCTACCTGGCTCTACTCACAGTGACTATTTCTGTATTTGTGCAGTAATCTATCTATGTGTAATATCTATTTACAGTCAAAATGTATTTTATAAGTGATTTCACATTACAGTAAAACTTTGAGTGCATGTAATGAGAGTGTAGTGACTTTTTTTAAAAATTTCTTTTCTTATTTTTTGAGACGGTCTCACTCTGTCGCCAAGACTGGAGTGCAGTGGCACGATCTTGGCTCACTGCAAGGTTCAAGCAATTCTCCTGCCTCAGACTCCCAAGTAACTGGGATTACAGGTATATGCCACCACACCCAGCTGATTTTTGTATTTTTAGTAGAGATGGGGTTTCACCATGTTGGCCAGGCTGGTCTCTAACTCCTAACCTCAGATGATCCACCTGCTTTGCTCTCCCAGTGTGCCAGGATTACAGGTGTGAGCCACTGTGCCCAGCCATAGTGACTTATTTAAATGGAATTCCTGATTCAATGTAGCTTCACCAAACTATATTAGCAGTACAATAATTCCTCCACTTCTCAACATTGTTGGGATAGCTTCATTTTACAGTAAGTTCACCTTTAAGCAGTAAGTCTTTTATTAATCTTGGTAGAAGGTTTCTAAAATTTCCCAGCCTTTGTAATAGTACATGTAACATAATTAATTGCTCTTGGGAATATGGAGTCTCCTTAGTTATTGAATTGTATATACAGGGATACTAATTGAAATGCCTGTGGATTACTAAGCCCTGAAATTAATTAATATTTAGCTTCTTAATGTCTCCGACCATCTCCCATGACAAGAGGAAAACTAAATCAAAGGTATCTGAACAAGACAGTAGTCACATCCCATTCTAAAGATAAACATGCCAGAAAGTGCCTACTGTACATGTGCATATACACACCCCAATCAATTTATCTGTATTTAGCTTTTGATTGAAGTAAAACGTGTATAGAAAGCTACACATATAATTGTATAGCTTGCTAAGTTTTCACAAATGAAATATTTTGCCTTCATACTAATCAAGAAACAGAATGTAATCAGTGTTGAGAAACATTAAGTTTACCCTGCCCCCATGGCTCCTCCGTGGAGGGTAGCTTTTAGTCTGTAATTAGTGGTAGGCAGGTAACAGCTGCTTACTTGGTATATTCTTGCGTTATAAGTAAATGTAGAGCACCTGTGTATTAATAAGACTAACCTGTCTAAGAGCAAATACTTACATGGGTGAGAATCTGCTGGGGGCCTTCAGCCTGGAGAGCTATCAGCCCCAGAGGCTCTCAGGCTGTTGGTCCCCAGGATAGATGCACTCTGTTGTGCTATTTGGGTGTCTGCCTCTCATATAGCTTTAGTGCTGCCTGGGTGGTGGTCTCCCGACTGAGCTGGTTCTCTGTAGGTCGGAGACCCCCAAAACCTTCCTCATAGCTCCTGCTAGCAACCCAGAAGTTCTCCATGTGCCCCTTCTAGTTACCAATCCCCATCCCCATGTGTTATTTTAATGTTTCTACTCTGAGGCTTCTTGGATTACCTCTGGATTAGCAGTCTATTTATGGGTAGTTGGAACTACAGACCATCTGACAGTGAAGCATTATGGTAAGCCACTCCTGTACATTGGTAACTGCAGTCTGATAAACATGATATGATATTCTACGAATGATTTGGGAAATGCAGAGTTGCAGGAACATCACTTGGAAGGTCCACGATCATTACACGGCAGAAGTGAGGTGCTGGGAAGCTGCGCTCAATTTCCAACCCCACAAGAGAATTTTCTTAGATATGGCTTTGTAAAAGAAAATTCCTGATATCAACCTAAATTGATAAATTTGATGGCTAAAATAAAAGTTATGGAGGGATACAGTTAAAGCTTCATATGCATAATGCTTTAGTTGTGTGTAACAGCGAGAGATTTTATTTTGCCCTGCCTTGAGAGTTTGAACAATAAGTGACTTTTTTCTCTATTCTGGGGACTTTCCAACTATTATTCTTCAGAATGCTTGTGTCCTGCTGAGAAAACAGAATGATAGTCTTTTTCTAATTCATTATTTTCTCTTCATGTATTTTACCTAAAGCTGCATCACTTACTGCTCTTACATATAAAACAGACAAAGTACAGACAAATACAAATGACTAGAAACAGCTCATTCTATAAGGACAGATATTCCTGGTTTTGATTTTATACTGCATCCATCTAATACTGTATTTTCTGCTCGCAAAACCATTGCTAGTTCATGTGATTCAATTAAACATTATTTCAAGGTGTTTCTGCAGGAAAACTCTAACATCCAGGTGTTTGTTGTGTTCTGATGTCGCACAAAAACGTCTGCTCTGCTTTCTAAAACACACAGGCAGAGGAGTGATTCTGAAAAGCAGGAAAGGCAAAAACTGATCATGTGAGCTAGAATTGTATGATCTGTTTCTCCAGACAAGGAGCTCCAGTGTATCATCATTCCTCTCACTGGGTATGCACTTTGGGAAATGGAAGCAAAGCCAGGAAACACAGCCTGCAAGTCTGCTCTTGGGGAGACAGTCACTAATGCTGTGCACTCACTCTGTCCCTCCAGGTCTGCCCGTGTCTTTATCTCCAGGGTTGTGGCCCAGAGGCGGTCCCCCAATGAACTGCATCCAAAGGGCTGCCCCGTGCTTTGGCTCCTGTTTGGGCTTGCCCAGTGAGAATAATGAAAGAGTTCAGGGCATCATCTCCTCCCCTCCTTCCCTGGCCACACCTTGGCAGTGGCTGCCTTCCTCTGTGAAGGCCACAGCTCTGCAAGCTGGCTTTCCCAAAGCCATAGCTGCAGCTATCCCTCCTTGCTCCTTCAGGTCAAGAGTAGAAATAGATTCCCACTGTTGCCAGAATACAGGGCAGCATTCCACCTTACTGGTTTCCTTTAACTTGGTCACATATTTGTAAATAGTTCCTTTCTTTCTTTTTTTTTTTTTGAGATGGAGTCTTGCTCTGTTGCCCAGGCTGGAATACAATGGCACAATCACAGCTCACTGCAGCCTCTGCCTCCCAGGTTCAAGTGATTCTCCTGCCTCAGCCTCCTGAGTAGCTGGGATTACAGGCGCATGGCTATTATTTGATTAAATATTTCTAAGAATCAATTCCAACTATTTTTTTTAAGTTTTAATTGCCACGTATAGTTGATTTGCTTATTTAATATATGGGCTTTGTGGCTAAAATGTAATGGGAGAATATACCATATAACTTTCTAATTCTATGGCATATAATAAGTGACTTCAGAAAGTTTTCTAATATGATATTCGGCCAAAGTAAAGGCCTGTTTAAAGAGTTCAACAATACACCTTTCCAAGCATAAGGAAAACAAATGACTTAAGTGAGAGCCAACACACAGTCTAGAATGTCCCACTACTTAATAAAGAAATACTAAAATTCAGACTTTTTATGGTGAACTTGGTTTTGAGAGAATAACCAACACCCCAAACAATACATATGGGCACCACACAACTGCTACAAAAACAAAATTAAAAAGCCATCAAACCTCACACACTTTTTACCAACCCAACCATCCAGGTAATTTGTAAAACATAAGGCTCTAAGAAAACATAAAAATGTATCAGCTCCATCATGCTGAGGTTTCGTTCCTTCTACTTGATGCAGACTCTAATGGAATTACTTAATTTTATCAGTCACTG